TTTCGGTAATTTTATTTCTGGTAGTTTTACATTGAAATCATTTTTATTATTGTTACTTGAGCCTACATCAAAGTTACTTGAATTACTCGATTCGCTATGAGAATTTGGAATTACCTTGTCAAAGAGGCTTAAGAATTCTTTGCACTCAACTAATAAACTAAAATAATTTTTCTCAAAAGTTTCTCTTTCCAACGTTTGTGTATCTAGGTAAATCATCTAAACTTATCTCTATCTCTGTTTGAACTATCTCGTATTCTTGTATTAATTTCTCATATTTTTCTAAACGTAACTTTAATTCAGCAGTCTTAGACTTTTCACGATCGGTAGGCGAAGTATCTTGAAAGGATTCTTTTAGGGTTTTAAAATATTTTTCAAATAATGTATGTCGTTGTTTGAAAACTCTACGTTTCCCTAAAAGAACCCTTGTCTCTTCGTTTTGCATTTTGATATTAAAACCTATTAATAAGAATCTGGAGCAAACCTATCTTCCCGTTGAAAGAAAAGGACAATAAAGGTAAATAGGAACGGACTCACCGGCAATTTGCGTCGTAGTTTTACCAATGCCCTCTATAAAAGATCAACCCACGGGCGGACTTTTGTTTACTTCATCAGCTGTACATACTTAGATATGGGGTTAGATTCTGTATTCATATTTTGTCGGTTGATTTTTGGTATTATTTGTTATTGTAGTGCAAAAAACTAATTATTTTGGTGTTTAAGTGACATAAAGTACTACCAGATATATGGTCACTATGATGGTCACGCTGTTTTGCAAAAAAAACACGAAATATACACGTTTTGGTAAGTGCTTTAACCTAAAAGTGCCCATAAAATTTTTTATTATCGGGTGATTTTTGTGTGTTTTTTTTAAAGACTCCGCTAACAATTGCATCAATAAAGCTTAAATGGAGTGTGTTTTTGGTGTTATGCCTCATCTTTGTTGTTTGTGTTCCTGGTGGACAGGATAGTTATACTAGGCAACTTAAAGTATCCAGAAGAGCAAGAAAAGTGGGTACAAGTTATAAATCAAGACAATTCTATTGAAAATATCTTTTAATAAATTTAAAAAATAATAATTCTCCCAGGATGGTATAAAGAAAACTGACAATTGATCGTTTATTTTATTATACATATTGTGGAATCTCCGCTCCAAGTGTTGTTGTTCAGCTTCGATAGATTCAGACACGTAAGTAGGTATTATACTAGGCGGAGGGAAAAAGTAAGAATATGTATACTTATAAGATCAATGAAAAAAGATGATTTATTGATTCAAAATTAAAGAAAAGACAAGAATGAAAGTTTCTTGTAAAAGAAGATGGTTCTTTGTTGAATGAAAATCATAATTTTAAAGCATAACTCGATATTTTTCCAGTATTTTACTGATAGTGTTGAATGTATTTATGAATACCAAAGATAATATCAAATATTTAAGTGATGGCTGAATACAATAATGAATCAAGAAGCTAGGCGAATAAAATATGGTATATTTGGCCCCACCAATACAAATTGATAGTTTTAAGATATATAAGGTGTTACCAAAGATAATACTAAGAAATTCCATATGTCCTTTGTTGTTGAATTGGTCCGAGATGTTATTTACTTTTGATGTTAAGAATATACCGTTATCAGTCGAGAGAAAAAACGGGGTCTAGTTGGCTTGAAATGAACATCGATGACGATCCTCATGTAAGTTTACATATAAAACAACAAAAAAAAAAAAATAAGCTATAGAAATTTTACAATCTTGGAAATTTTGATATTCTTGAAACCTTGTTTCTAATTATATTCACTAAGATTTTTTTTTTTATTTTTTTGATTTAGTTTTTTTTTTTTAAAAAAAAAAAACGCTGATTAAGTTTTCATGTTGGTTTGTTCATTATTTTATTTATGTGGTTTTTAAAAAAACGTTTGGCTAACATTATAGCCTTCATCATGTGTTGTGTCATAGGAAAAAAATAGTGTCGAATATAAAAAATCCAAAAATATTGACATATAATTCACACCAACGCACCACATACAGTGTTACTGGCGTACTCCATTACGATCCATTGTAGAAGTTTTAGTGTTAAAGATGAATTAATTCCTAAAAGAAAATAAAGAGGGCATGCTCTTTGATAGTTTGATATTAGCTTTATTAATTGCCGAAACATTATTTGGTGGGACATGATTATATGTTAATTTTTTGGATTAGTATTCCGACACTATTTTTTTTTCGATATGACCAGCAACACTGAGAAAGGCTATAGTTAGCCGAAACGTTTTTTTAAACTAAATAAAAATAATGAGAACCAAATGAAAACTTGTAATCAGCGTTTTCCCGAACCTAAAAATACCAAGAAAATCAAACGAATTTTAGGAAAATTTTATTAAAAACTAAAAAAAAAAAAATCTTCATTTCATAGCCATCGCTGTTTTTTTTTTTTTTTTTTTTTATATTGTATATTTGTAAATATCGAAACATTGAATACTTGCAAAATTATGACATAAAAAATGCAAATAAATACATCACTATAGTAGATTACCACATGTTTTTGTTAGTTAAATTAAAGCAGTCGATTTTATCAAACGCGGCCGAATAATTTAAAATAGAGTGTGACATTTACCCAGATACCGTTATGTACGATAGACAGTATTTTGTATAGTTGTAAAACATTGCTGCATTTGTATTGTTATAGCTTATGCCAAAGTATTTATTAACTATAAATAAGGATAATCACATCGGGAAAGGTCAACTCTGTGTATACGATTTTAACGTGTAAGGCAGTGATGTAGGCAGCCTAATGGCAAATCAAATGTAATAAAAAAAAAAGTCTGTGTATCGGGTGGGAACAGATTCTTCTGAGCGTATTGCAGGATTTGATCAAAATTCAAACCGCAACGTAGACGTTTCAAAGACATCTAGGGTGGATCTGGATTTCACACACACACACTTTAACGTACATACTGTAAATAATTACATTTAGCTTAAATAATTATCTTCATTTCATGATACATGAACATTTAACATAGTGTATTTTATTCTAATTCTTTAAGACTACGATATTATACTGGTCGGCAAGAGAAAATCATGGGTCGTTTATTTTAGTAATCATTTACCTACATGTCAAGAAGTGAATCGCTATGGCAATCTTGTAAGTCGGAGAGAAATTATTACCCCTTATCCCACTTAAATCCGGAGGCGCAACTTTCATACGCTTGGGAAAATTCTTGCTCCATTCTCTTTGTTCATTTATACAATCACAGAGTTTTATAGACTCTGTGCACGACAATCGTCACCCAAAGCCGTGTGTACATATCGGTTATAGTCATATAAATAAAACTAACCAAAAAATGCGTATTACGTAGATAAATGGTTGCAAATTCTATGTCGATCCATTCTAATCCAGTATTAAATAAATAATGGACGTAGCCAGTGTGAAGTAGTTCCCTCTTTTTTTAAATTTTTAAATGCTGTAGCTCCATATCATGTTCATAATAGGTTTTATAACATTCCGTTAAAACTACGTAGGCCTTGAAAAGGCCTTTTAGCCTCCGTAGTTATAACTCTTGTCTGTATATAAAATTACGTTATTCATAATCAGGGTTGCTGTAGAATCAACTATAGAATCAACAATATTAATAGGTACCTTGTTTAATTCTGCTTATACATATATTGCATTATTTTTTCTGCTACCTTAAGATTTTTCTATACTTACACCTAATTTATGTGATTTTCTTAGCATATATGATTTATAAACAGTATTTTTCCTAATGGAAGGATATGCAAGTATTAAGATATCTTAATATTTATTCTCCACACCACAAAGCATAATACGTAGTAGGTATTAAAACATAAAATATAAATCTAATAAGATCAAAAATGAGCCTTCACCATATTATCAAGATTTTGGCATTACAGGAAAGAAATAATGTCAGTAAATTAAGAAAAGAATATCAAAGTACAGGATATTAAATACTGTAATGAGTATTCTATGACACAAACCATATCCCTTCTAAAGAGAAAAAGATAAAGCATAAAGTTTATTTTAATCTTATCAGCATTCATCGATAAGAAATATGCCTACAATTGCTATTAATACACTAACTTGAAATTTTTAAGAAATTATATGATACAAACACTATAATCAAACTAGGTAAAATGTTACCTCTATCTCACTGACTTGTATTGTGCTGTAAGACTCGTCATGCCGTAGTACCGTATGATCGAAAAAACGGCGTCAGCGATGGCTATGAAATGAAAATCGCTGTCATTTTATATGTAAATTTATATGGGAAATGTCGTCAATATTCATTTCATAGCCATTCTGACGCCGTTTTTATTCGATCATATCGTATTTAAATCGTTGATATACAGTGTGAGCCTTAAACAAGTGCAATTCTTTGATTTTTTTTTAGTTTTTAGTTAAGATCCATAATTTATTGATAATTTAATTCTCAAAATGTAAGCAGAAAATCATTTTTTTGGAAATTTTCAAAGTAAAATTACTCGGTTATTTTGGACTTATTTAAAATATTGTAAAAAGAAAATATTTTTATTTTATCGAGATCTACCCAGCACTGAAAATATTAGCACTTATTTAAGATTCGCTCTGTATAGTATTTATATTCCACTCTGAGAATACCAAAATACCTTTTGTTCAAAAAAAGAAGCATCGAAATTGTTGAAGTTGTAGTCAGTTCAGGAACCACACAAAAATACATTTTGAGCTTTTATACAGGGTCTTAAATAAGTGCAAATATTTTCAGGGCTGGTAGATCTAAATAAAAGAAACATATGTTCTCTTTGCCGTTTTTCAAATAAATCCAAAATAATCGAGTTATTTTACTTTGAAAATATCCCAAAAAATATATTTTGTTCAAATTTTAGGAACCACTGGACCTTTTGTAAATTGTATAAAATTAAATAAATTAAAATATTTGTACTTATTTAAGACTCGCCTTGTATAATGTATGGATAATAAGGATTTAAATAAGAGATAATTTAACTTTTTATAGGTATATTTAATTAAACAAAATATAAAAAAAAACTAAACGCTAAAATAAACGAGTAATAAAGTTATTTAAGTTAACATTCATTTGCTTAATCGATTTCTTTACAGTCTCCATCAAATTTTCAATAGGTTTTGCATTACTTTGTCCCAAAACTTTTTCCAAAAAGGTTGGTATACGAGAAACTATATTATCCTTATTATTTACATCATTTCTTCGTAATACACCATTTTTTATGGCATTCAATGTAGTTTGTCTCGTAGCTTCAAGATCATTCATTTGCGATTCTATTTTTTCTTTTTCGATCAGATTTTCTCGAGCTGCTTTGAGTATGTTCTTTCTTACAACTTTCTGCAAAATGTTTAGAGGATCAGCATTAGTATTTTCATATTTTTCTTTAAAAATACTATTTTCTTTTGCTCCAGATAGATCATTATTGCTTTCCAAGTATTTATTTCTTCTAATAATTTGATCTTCGTTGTTTACTTCTTCAATATTGTGTCGACTTTTCAAAAGTTCACCATCTTGATCATACTTATCATCTTTTTGTTCTTCATTTTGTTCTGAAATAAAATGTCTAACATTGTAACGTTCTTCTAATTTCCTTCTTATATCATCAAGTAATAATTTTTTAATTTCACTGATATCTTCAGTAGTTTTCTCATCTATGTCTGTATTTTCTTCTCCTAAATTCGTTACCTTTTTATCTATATTCTTCTGAAGAATATTTTGATTTACGTCAGGCTCATTATCCATATTATTAAGTTTCGTTATTCTTTTATTAGCAGTTTGTTGTTCAACATTATTCACATTTTCTTTTTTCAAGTCTCCTGAAACAATTTCCCATTCAACATTTCCTTTACCATCATCGTTTTTTTCAGTCACTCCATTATTTTTATTCCACTCAATTTTTTCTTCAGTTACACCTTCTCTTGACTCAGTTTTGAGAGCAATAAAGTTCTCTAAAGAATCTAAACGTTTCTGATGAATAAATCTTTTTCTTCTCAGTCCAAAATATCTAGGATGCATCAAACTATTCTTCAAGTTCTGTTCCTCAATCAGAGCATACAAAGGCAGTAATGAAGGATGATCTTTTACCAGTGTCAACACGTCAACAGGTTGCCAAGGTTTTAAGTCTAAGGTTAAAGGTTTGTACTGTCCAAACAAGAAAGGCAACTCGTTGTTTAAAAGAGATCTTTTTGATCGTGGTGGAGGTATAGTGTTTTCATTAATGTCAGCTTCAGCAGTTAGATCATCAAGCGTTTTATTCCTTTTATCTTGTTTGTCGTTCAAAAGGACTTGAATATTTGATTTCTGCTTTTTTTCTTTCAAACAATTTTTGCAAGGGACTTTGTTTTTCTGTATTTTATGTTTTCCTAGTTTCTTTATGTCGTTCTTTTTAAATTTCATAGGACCATCCTTGGCAATTGTATTTAATAATGCCCTCCTTTTTCTAGCAAAGGCATAGTCAAGATCATCATAAAAATTTAACTCATCTAGCCCATTCTAAAAAAACAAAATAAAAATGTAGTTTAGTGGTAAAACTGTTCTAATAATGCAGAGGAAATGTAGCATATAGATAAAAAAAGCGACAGAGAATAGATAGATACGAATCCAAGTTGCTCGATACAACAGAACAGGACAATGCTTGAGAAGAGGGGAAGAAAGTTTTGACAATACAATGTCAATAAAGAAAGGTTTATTTGAACATTACATCGATCGAACATTACTGGAGATAAGAAGATATTATGTTGTGTAACAAAATAATGAAATGCAGGTATGTAGTATCAAAAAGAATTGCCATACGATTGAAAAAAAAGGCGTCAAAGACGGCTGGGGAATGACAATCGATAATAATTTTTGCCGAGGTCAAAACCGAGATGTCATTTACTTGGCCCGTACTCTACTTTATTTTTTAATGGCGTTTACTGCCAGTTAGCTTTAAGAAGGTAGTAATTTGTTTTTATAATGATTAAAAATTATTTATAAATGGTGTAGTTTAAAATTCGAGAATTTTTTTTTTTTTAAATAGATTTGTGTGTCTGTTTTTTAGTAAATAACGTCTAGAGATGAATCTCGCCAAAATTATTATCGATTGTCATTCCCCAGCCGTCTTTGACGCCGTTTTTTTTTCATTCATACGGTAAAATATTATATGTATAATATGGACCGGTAAGGCAGTATGTACGATGGAACACATTTGTATGTAAATGTGAAAACAGTGATGTGAGAGGAACTATATATGATTAAAAATACGATTAAGGCATCTTTTAACCGGCCAGGACAAGACGTGAAAAACATTAGACGATCAAATTAATTTTTCCAAAGCTCCTTGATTAAAAATTAGTGTTTTTAACACAGCCATGGCACTCTAGACTGAAATTTAAAATACGATTTTTTTAAGCGAAAATGTCAAAAAGTTGACACATGATACGTCATTCTATTCAGGATGCCTTTTTCTATCGAATAAAGTAGAAAAATACCGAGTGTGTGGTTTAAAAATCAAAAGTTGTAGTCATTTCCGGTGAAACAGGAAGTGACCAAAAACAATTGAATACATTAATCAATCCTAATTTGTCTCATATACTAACAGACAGACCAAATCTCGTTTTTTTATCTGCAAAAATAAAAATTTTATAGGGGTGAGCCACATTTGAGACGCACCCGGTATAGACATTACATAAAAGATGTACCCTAAGGATGTACCTATACCTATATTTAATACCAATGAGTAAGGGTAAAGCTAGAAAACAAATTATGATATGATATGATAATATTAGTAGCAATTAACAGAAATGTATCATTTTTAAAGCAAAATGAGAGTACTTACAAAAACAGACATATCACGATTCTTTTGTCCGTTGTATCCATACGTATCCTCCCAAGGATACTTATTTTTCTTTTGAGATTCGAACCACGGTAGCTTTAATTTTTTCACCTTTCCAATGTCTATTTCTTCCCTATAAACTTCAGAAAATTTATTCGGACCATTCCTGTTTCTTATGCTTATTGGCATCCATCTTCTGTCCATATCCAGGTTGAGTTTCTGCGGTTTATGCTTCTGTTTGGGGTGGAATTGATTCTTGTAGTACCAATCTTCGTCTGACTTCGCGAAGTTTGGGAACATGTCTTCTTCCACTCCTAGGTTTTCCATGGTGAGTTCATCTGAATCCATGGAATTTTTGAACAATTCGTCATTGTAATGATCTAAAATAAAAGGGATAAAAAATAAATTAGAAAAAAATGAATTGACAACAAGTGGATTAAATAAATTTTCCAAAGATATGCAAAATACAATATGATTGAAAAGAAAATCATATGATCCGTCTTGCTATGAGCTTCTCAAAAATATATAACACTATATTTATTTTCTCTACTACTTACTTCAATATTTAAAAGATATAATTTTCTTGTTAGTAGACCGTGATATATAACAAAAAAATCAAAATGGTTTTAACTAAAATAGTCATACATACAGATTGTTAACTGGACAGTTAATTATAGCGGAACAGAATGGCAACACTGCCTATTGAGAACACATGCACCTTATAGAGTTTTCTGCCGACTCGTCCCGTCGCGTCGGCTATCGACGAGCGGTCCGAGGTTGCCATATTTCAACCATAAAGCTCTTGCCGCAAGTAATAAACAAATTAACAACCTGTATATATTAAAATTTTATTTGAGACTGAAATATTTTACTTTTAAACTGTTACCACTGAATCTCTGAATATGTTTGTCTTCTTTTTTTATAAGGGGATTTATTATAACGGGATGGGTTTGCAAATATCTAAAAGTTTGCCTGCTAGCATTTTCCAGGCCTTCGACATTGTTGTAGTTGCCACGATATATTTCATATTTCAAGAATCCCTAAATACAAAAATTGAGAATGGAAAAATCCCGGGATCATGTAGGCTATCGTATGGGTCCATTGATCCCAATTCATTGATTTGGGAAATAGTCATTTAACAAAATTCTAATATTTTCAAAGTTGTGAGGGAAATCCCATCTTGCTGAAAGTATATTTCACGAGAATTATCTTTAGAATATCTAAAAGTTCCAGTACGATAGCTTCCAAGATTTGTAAATAGCGGTAGTGAGTTAAGTTGCCATGATATGTAAAAAAATTATTAGTGGCTTATAAAATAAAAAAAGAGAGATAGCAGTATACTTTTAATAATTCTTTAGCTTCTTTTATTGTTATCAATCATGGCCAATAAAAATTATTTTTTAATGAAAACTTTTAAATATTGCAGTAAACAGTGAAAATAAATGAAGACAGATCATATAATTTATAAATATACAGGGTTTTCCATTTAAGAAAACATAACTTTAGTTCATATCGTCAAGAATATTCTTTTCGTAGAATAAAATACTACGCCACTGTATTCTACGTAAAAAGTTCTACAATAAACAGTTGTCACCTTCTCGATATCTTTAACAACAACAGAGATACGGGGGGTGTCCCAATTTACAAAATTTTCAAAAGGATCCTGTAGCTCAGAAACGAAGAGGGCTACGAAAATTTTGTTTACAGCATCTTCCGTTTGACAAAAAATAGGACAGATTGTTGCAAACCGCACCCTTCTATCTTTAATAATAACGGAGATACCGTATGATTTCACCTAAAATGGGACACCCTGTACATCGAATGGTTTTTGAGAAAAAAAAATCAACTAAATGCCTACCTTGACATTCATATATACTCGTTTTCTAGCGATTTTGAGATTTTTTCTCGAAAACCGTTCAACGTACAGGGTGGCTCAAATTCGACGCTCATCATTGGGATTTCGGAAACCGTAAGAGATACAGGATCGGTTAAATGGAGGCAAAGTTGCGCAATTTGATGCTCAATAAAATGCCGTATTGCATTTTGAAAAATTCTGAATACTTCCGAATATATTAAAAAAAACGAATTTTCAATTTTATTTTCTATTGTTTCCTGGCTTTATTTGTTAAGATAACTTAAAATGAAAAACACATTTTCATGGCCACTTCTTCTGCTCTATAACTCTGTGTGATTAAATATTGACGCTGACGTATCGGCTCCTGACGACCATCATCAACTTATTTTTTTTAAATACGGACCTGATTTTTTTTTTTTCAATTTAATTAAATCCTTTCATCACTCTTAAAACACTATATATAGTCACTTTGATATTTGCGGACGTTTCGTACAGAAAATTCCATCACCAGAATATTTTATGTGATAAAAAAAATAAAAAATAAAAAATAAAAATGCAATACGGCATTTTATTGAGTATCAAATTGCGCAACTTTGCCTCCATTTAACCGATCCTGTATCTCTTACGGTTTCCGAAATCCCAATAATGAGCGTCAAATTCGAGCCACCCTGTACAAGACAATCGCATGAGTCAGTGGCGTACCATTTTTTTTTTCATTAAATCATTAAATTCCATTTTTTTAATATTTTCTTCCCTGTAAATCTGATATGAAAGGAAGTACTTTAAACCTCATGTTTATATTAACTTTTTGTCTTAAAAATACGTGACGAATCAACATCAACCCCTGTATAGCATTCCATTTAAAGTGTGAGCATATGTTTTTAATCCTGCATACTAACAAACTTACCTTTCATTCTAAATGTATCTTCCGGTTCGTCCCAGTACTTCCTCAAAAACTCCGGCTGCGTCACCGGTTTGGGCTTCCCCCAAGAACCCTCACTCTTAATTTTCTTCTTCAGCATATCCAAGTTAATATCTCGCTTCATCAGCTTGAATTTAGGCGGACTCTTTTGATTCCTGGCAAATTTCTCGAAACGCTCCTGGCTGAACTGGTTGTTCTTGTAGAAATTCGCTTTTTCTTCCAAGAGAACATGGTTTATGTCTCTTTTACCAACTATATGGTTAGGTATTTGTATGGTAGCTTTGTCGACTAGCATGTCTAGTTCGGAACTAGTCAGTTTGATGTTTTTCTTTGCAGCTTTCTCTTTGGCTCTGCGCTTGATGATTTCTTCTACCTCTTTGATGGTCAGGAAGAGGCTGTTGCTCGGCACTCTGAAATCTGGAGATCTGTAATCTAATAGAAATAACAATCAATATACGTGGTGTCACCGGATTGTTTTTACTAGAGAAATTTTTTTTTATTATTGACATTTTAAAAAAAAATTGAATTTGTTGAAGTCCTTAACTTTTAAGATAAGTTAGGGTGTCCCATTTCGGTTGCAAATGAGGATTTTCTTGCTTACTAGGAAACATATTACCTCGTGTTTTAGAGCTAATTTTCGTGAAACTATTATATCAAAAATATTCGAAATGAATGAATTAAACGACATGAGAGAAATGAAACCAAAAAAACAAATGAAAGAAATAAATTAAATTAACAAAATGACTGATGACTGAAATGAAGAACAAAATGATGGAAATAAAACCAAATGGGAGAAATTAAAAAGAGGTGAATGAAATGAAAAAAGGAACGAAATTAAAGAAATGAACAAAATGGCTGACATGAATAAATTAAACGAAATAAGAGAAATGAAAAATAACGAAATGACCACAATGACTAAAATCAATAGAATTTACAAAATGAACGAAATTAAAGAAATGAAAAAATGAACGAAATAAAGGAAATAAACTAAATGAACAAAAAAGTTTGTAATTTTGGCTAAAATGAATGGAACTGGCAAAATAAATGAGACAAACAAAATGTAAAAATTAAAGAAATAAAGGAAATAATGGAAATAAGGAAAACAAGGAAAACAACGGAAATAAAGGAAATAAAGGAAGTAAAGGAAGTAAAGGAAATAAAAGAAGTAAAGGAAATAAAGAAAGTAAAGGAAGTAAAAGAAATAAAGGGAATAAAGGAAGTAAAGGATGTAAAGGGAGTAAAGGAAGTAAAGAAAGGAAAGAAAGTAAAAGAAATAAAAGAAATAAAGGAAATAAAGGAAATAACGGAAATAAAGGAAATAAAGGAAATAAAGGAAATAAAGGAAATAAAGGAAATAAAGGAAGTAAAGGAAGTAAAGGAAATAAAGAAAATAAAGGAAGTAAAGGAAGTAAAGAAAGTAAAGGAAATAAAAGAAATAAAGGAAGTAAAGGAAGTAAAGGAAATAAAAGAAATAAAAGAAATAAAGGAAATAAATGAAGTAAAGGAAGTAAAGGAAATAAAGGAAATAAACGGAATAAAGGAAATAAAGAAAATAAAGAAAGAAGGGAAAAAATTAAATAAAGGAAATAAATTCAAAGGAAAAAAAGAAATAAAGAAAACAAAAAAAATAAAGGAAACAAACGAAATAAAGAAAATACAGGAAATATACGATATAAACGAAATGAGCTCATAATTAATAATAATTAGATAAACAAAATAAACAAAATTAACGAAGCGAATAAAATGGCTGAAATAAACCAAACGAAATGAGTCAACCGAGGAGTCAACAAAGGAACGAATAAATAAAGTATCAAAAAACAAAAAGATGAATGAAATATGGAACCGTTGTGATTTAAAAAAAACTTTTCCGTTCTATCTTTTTCTTTCTTTTTGATTAAGTATAAATATTTATTTTTCATTAAAAAATATAAAAAAGTTACTCTCCGGCCGGGAATCGAACCCGGGTCTCCCGCGTGACAGGCGGGGATACTTACCACTATACTACCGAAGACTTATGAAAACTTAATGCAATCTGCTATTTATTCAACGTAGTAATAGATTTACTTGAAACTATATTTTAATGATGAAAAATCAAAAATAATCAACGAACAAAGGCTAAAAATGCATTTTTAAGTTGAAATATTAAATTTTAATAGTAAATATTAAATATAGATTAATAATTTTATTTTACATCTGGAGTAGACTTGAGATAACGAATGATAACTACACTCACATGGCAAAAAAACACAACTTAGAAATTTTTGATCTACATAGTTTAAAATGTTATATTTTTTTATTTTTATCTCTATTTCCTTCATTTGTTAGCAAACTGTATATAAATATATCAACTTTAATTCGTAAACTCGTTTATTATAAACTTATATAATGACTTAAAGTTGATAGATTTATACCTATACAGTTTGCTAAAAAAAATCAAGGAAAGAAATATAACATTTTAAACTAGAACAAAAATGTTTCCGTTGCGTTTCTTGCATCTTAATAAATATCCAACTAAAAGATTTATTTGCTATTTAATGAAGTTTTTCAAAGCAGTGTAGAATACCTATGTTGATGATTAAGTACCTATACATATAGTACCTGGTTTAGTTTCATATCCGCTTTTCTCAATGTTTCCTCTTCTGGCTTTGCCAATAAAAGCCTTCAAATGATCATGAAGCAAATCTTTCTTGTCACCAGAAATCAGCTTGTTCTTTGGTCGATCTTCCTGTATAATATTTTTTCTATTGCTGTCCTTCTTAGTCATTTTTTCGTAATATTTTTGGTCCTGTTCCATTTCATCCAACATGCTTTTCTTGATTCCCTCCAGTGTAATTTTCTTCTATCATAGAAAAAGGATATTTTTTAACCGAATTTGATATTACCCTTATATTACTTTTAAAAAACGATATGGGAAATAACTTCCCCAAAAACATCATAAAATAATACTTTTCACTGTAGAATAATACCGGATGATCGAAAAAAAAACGGCGTCAAAGACGGCTAGGAAATGACAATCGATGGTAATTTTCGCGAGGTCAATATCTAGATATGATTTACATACACAATTCAAATAAAAATCAAAAATTAGCACGAATTATAGAAAGATTAAAAAACGATAGGACGTTTTCAGACACACATATGTTTTTTCAAAAAAAATATTTTTTCTTGAATTTTAAATTACACCATTTAAAATCATTTTTACTAAATCTCTATACCGGGTGCGTCTCAAAAGTGGCTCACCCCTATAACATTTTATTTTTTCAGATAAAAAAACCAGATTTGGTATGTTAGTATATGACATAAATTGGGATTGATTGACGTATTCAATTGTTTTTGGTCACTTCCTGTTCTGTCGGTCACTGGAAATCACTACAACTTTTGATTTTTAAATGTATTTTTGTAAATTTCCTGTCTCACAATGTACCGTTTGTGTCCAGGAAGGGTTCATAGTTTCATAGTTGTCGATTTTCGACAGAAATCAGTACCTGTATATTATTTCCTATATTTTTCATTTTATTGATTTTATGAAAAGCACTGTTCATTAAAATGTTGTACCCTATGTTATAGGGCTTGTTTCTCTCTACAATTTCCTGTCTCACAATGTACCGTTTGTGTCCAGGAAGGGTTCATAGTTTCATAGTTGTCGAATTTCGAAAGAAATCAGTACCTGTCTATTATTTCCTATATTTTTCATTTTATTGATTTTATGGAAAGCACTGTTCATTAAAATGTTGTATCCTATGTTATAGGGCTTGTTTCTCTCTACAATTTCCAGTCTCACAATGTACCGTTTGTGTCCAAGAAGGGTTCATAGATTCATAGATGTCGATTTTAGAAAGAAATCAGTACTTGTATATTATTTCCTATATTTATCATTTTATTAATTTTATGGATAGCACTGCTCATTAAAATGTTGTATCCTATGTTATAGGGCTTGTTTCTCTCTACAATTTCCTGTCTCACAATGTACCGTTTGTGTCCAGGAAGAGTTCATAGTTTCATAGATGTCGATTTTCGAAAGAAATCAGTACATGTGTATTATTACATATATTTTTCATTTTATTGATTTTATGGAAAGCACTGTTCATTAAAATGTTGTATCCTATGTTATAGGGCTTGTTTCTCTATACAATTTCCTGTCTCACAATGTACCGTTTGTGTCCAGGAAGGGTTCATAGTTTCATAGTTGTCGATTTTCGAAAGAAATCAGTACCGTAAAATGGGGGGAATAGAAACATAGTGGTGAATAGAAACAAAATTTCTGAAAAAAATCAAATCACGATTAAAAATATTCAAAGTAAAAAGGGTCGACATATCTAATTTTTCTATCATTGGTAATACACAATAAAATGTAAAAACTATATTTTTATCTGTGGCAGCACTATTTCTGTCAATCAGCTGATCAATAAATTTGAGATCGATTTTTCACCTATTTTGTATGGCGCGAAAACTTTATAAATAAAATATTTATTTTTAAAATAATACATAAGCTGGTACATGTAAGTTGTTATATTATAGGTATTGTTAATTATTGTTAAACCTACTTAAATATGTAATAATTTACTGTTTCTAATCACCTTATTGGAAATAGAATAGATAAAAACCTTAACATCAATGTGTGTTTCTATTCTCCCGAATAGCAGGTGAATAGAAACACAAATGTTATTTTTATTTAATATTTATATGCATATTTTTCAATAATCAAATTATATGTGTACGCAAAGAACAAACAAAGACCCATGTTTTAAAATATTCGGGAAAATAATACCACATTTTTATCAACTGGTATATCGCTAATAGCCTACGAAACTGCTTCTATTCACCCCATTTTACGGTACTTGTATATTATTTCCTATATTTTTCATTTTTTGATTTTATGGAAAGCACTGTTCATTAAAATGTTGTATCCTATGTTATAGGGTTTGTTTCTCTCTACAATTTCCTGTCTCACAATGTACCGTTTGTGTCCAGGAAGGGTTCATAGTTTCATAGTTGTCGATTTTCGAAAGAAATCAGTACCTGTATATTATTTCCTATATTTTTCATTTTATTGATTTTATGGAAAGCACTGTTCATTAAAATGTTGTACCCTATGTTATAGGGCTTGTTTCTCTCTACAATTTCCTGTCTCACAATGTACCGTTTGTGTCCAGGAAGGGTTCATAGTTTCATAGTTGTCGATTTTCGAAAGAAATCAGTACTTGTATATTATTTCCTATATTTTTCATTTTATTGATTTTATGGAAAACACTGTTCATTAAAATGTTGTATCCTATGTTATAGGGCTTGTTTCTCTCTACAATTTCCTGTCTCACAATGTACCGTTGGTGTCCAGAAAGGGTTCATAGTTTCATAGTTGTCGATTTTCGAAAGAAATCAGTACCTGTATATTATTTCCTATATTTTTCATTTTATTGATTTTATGGAAAGCACTGTTCATCAAAATGTTGTAGCACCCTTGGTATTTTTTTACTTTATTCGATAGAAAATGATATTCTGAATTGAATGACATATCATATGTCAACTTTTGACATTCTCGCTTAATAAAAAATAGTATTTTAAATTTCAATATAGAGTGTCATGGTTATGTTAAGAACACTAATTCTTAATCAAGGAGCCTTGAAAAAATAGATTTGATCGTCTAATGTTTTTAGTGTCTTGTCCTGGTCGGTTAAAAGATGCCAAAATCGTATTTTTAATCATATCTCAATTTTTTCGAATGGGACAAGGGTGGCTCATTAGCACATCTGGAAAAATCATTTTTTTACGAATAATTTGATACCACACACTTGGTATTTCAAGTCAAATTTTCGTTACGAACCGCAAATTATAATTTCAAATAAACCATACGCGAAAATGTCAAAAGTTGACATATGATGTCATTCTATTCAGAGTGTTATTTTCTATCGAATAAAGTAAAAATATACCTAAGGAGTCATTTAAAAATAAAAAGTTGTAGTCATTTCCGGTGAAACAGGAAGTGACCAAAAACAATTGATCGTCCGAATTGCACAACGACCTTAGCGCGTGGCCGCGGGCAGCACAGTAGGCAAACGAGACAGCGACACGTTGTTGCGCGCCGATTTAACAAAATAAATAATTTTAAACCTGCCGTCAGTTCGTTAATAATTATCGTATCGTGCTGATTTTTGCATAGAAATACTCATGAGTCTTTAGCGCTTCCGACGAGCTTAAATAACTGGATTATTTTTTATATTTTCGATTTGTTAACATTCCCCGAGCATATTATAACTTTGAGATAAAAATCTCTATTATAAATTTTAAAACCGACAAATATGAATACTATCATTTAATTAGTTATACATTTAGTTACAACATCTTAAAAATTTAGGTCTATCGGTTTATGCTAGCAGTAATAACGAGTATAAATAAAAAAATGGTCAATATAACGCTCGCCGTTTTTAGCGCACGTTCAGCTTTGGGTTTAGTTTTAGTGCTATTTTTACAGAAAATAAATTCTAAACTTTGATCAAATGACAAGAACATTATCATTGCCAATATCTCCTGGTTAAAATGTAGTTCTTTTTTCAAAATATTGCATTGTTTTAGCTTAAAAAAAACTTGAATTATGCGGCTTTTTTTGCGAGAGCTACCGGAGCTGCGTTAATAAAGAGATGGCTATGTACGTCAATCATAGTCACAATAGACTGTAATTTTACCTCGTCACGAGATTTTTTGGAAATATTGCACTTCCATTTATCCGAATTTCTACTAACTTTTGGCCTTTCTTTTCGGTCGCATTTCCCTCTATTTAATAATAAATAATTTAAAAAAACGCACAAATACTACTGGTAGTAAACGTGCTGTGGCAAAAATTTTCTATACTCCATGCAAACTAAAAACTATCGCAAATACTGTCTTTCTATTGACGGACATAGCCATCTCTTTATTAAAGCAACGCCGGTAGCTCTCGCAAAAAAGCCGGATAATTCAAGTTTTTTTAAGCTAAAACAATGCAATATTTTGAAAAAAGAACTACATTATAACCAGGAGATATCGGCAATGATAATTTTCTTGTCATTTGATCAAAGTTCAGAATTTATTTTCTGTAAAAATAGCGCTAAAACTAAAACCAAAGCTGAACGTGCGCTAAAAACGGTGAGCGTTGTAATGACCATTTTTTTATTTATACTCGTTATTACTGCTAGCATAAACCGATACACCTAAATTTTGAATATGTTGTAACTAAATGTATAACTAATTAAATGATAGTATTCATATGTGTCAGTTTTAAAATTTATAACAGAGATTTTTATCTCAAAGTTATAATATGCTCGAGCAATGTAATCAAAAATATAAAAAATAATCCAGTTATTTACGCTTGTCGGAAGCGCTAAAGACTCATGAGTAGTTCTATGCAAAAATTAAAACGATACGATAATTATTAACGAAATGACGGCAGGTTTAAAATTATTTATTTTGTTAAATCGGCGCGCAACAACGCCTCGCTGTCTTGCCTGCCTACTGGGCTGCCTGCGGCCACGCGCTAAAGTCGTTGTGCAATCTGGACGCTCAATTGTATACGTCAATCAATCCTAATTTATGTCATATACTAACATACCAAATCTCGTTTTTTTTAAACTGAAAAAATAAAAAAGTTATAGGGGTGAACCACTTTTGAGACGCACCCGGTATATAAATGCTAATGTTTATCTGTGTCGTCTCTATTTAAGTAACGACTTACTCTAGAAAGTTGCTTTTTTACTAAAAGATAGCTAATTGGCTCTTCTAAAAAATGTGGTCGCCGGATTTTTTGTTTATTTTCATTTAATTAAACAAAAAATAAAAAGTATATTTTTTTCCTGATGTCGTGGCGGATGCGCCAGTCTTCAACTAGTATAAAAATAAAATACAACGAGGCAGTAAGTGCCATTAAAAAATAAAAAAAGAGTACGGACAAAATAAATAAAATCTAGGGCTTGACCTCGTCAAAATTATCATCGATTGTCATTCCTCGGCCGTCTAAGCCGTCTTTGACGCCTTTTTTTCGATTGTATTTTACTTACACCGTGGAATTTTTCTAATGTGTCACTATGCCTATTATTCAACATCCTCTGTTCTATATTGAACGATACGTCATCGCCAGAAAACGACTCCTCTTGATCCTCACTGATTTCTTCCAATATGATATCTAGTTCTTCCTTACCCTCGCTGCACAGTGAACATCTTGCCCCAGTGAGTACGAAGAAGGCTATGGTATTTGAAGGTACTTCCAAAGAAATGTAAGGTCTGACTTTGGTCCTTCTTAATTTTGGTTTTAATATATCGTCGTGTGGAGACAGTAAACGATTCATAGTGAGCATTTGACCGTTGAGTAGTACTTGGCTGCAAATAATTATAAATATAACTGTATCTCTGAAAGAACAATGAATGTCAATAAAAGAGTTTAAAAATAGTAGATTAGTCGTGACTGACTAAGTTAAGAAAAAAACTCAAAATTTAAGTGAGGATGCAGTCAATAATCACCACATAGGCTAATATAACTACTTTTTCAAATTTGTCAAGCTTTCGAGAATTTTATTCCCATCATCAGGACGGTTTGACTGAGTCAATTAGCAAAAAAACTCTGCACAAAAAGGCCTTAAAAACTAGCATCGTATGACATTGGAATACAAAGACATTTCCTTTATAAAATATTAAAATACATATCCAACGACATTACTTTTCTTTTAAACACAAAACAAAAAAGATTTTTTTTTAAATTTACTAAACTAATTTCTACATTGTTGTTTCGAGCTCGATCAGTTATTTTGAGTCACTGTTTGATCGAGCTCAGGAGACTGAATTGGACATAACTTTTAATTGGCATTAAACGGCCTACACGATTTTTATATCAAAAGAAAAAAAGTCAGTGGCGCACATGATTTTTTTTTTGAAAAATATTCCAGTGATAACCCACATGCACGTCCCTGATAAATATGTCGACACTTTTTCAGCATTAAAATATGTAGTACTTACAGTAACTTTTACCCTCAAAATTTCATTCAAATCACTAAAAGTACAGAAAATTATAAAAAATCAAAAGATTATTAAGACTTTAACACCCTGTAGCTACGAAACAAAGCAGAATCGGACAGATGACACATGTTGATATGAAAAATAAATTTTATTTTTACGTGAGGAATCTTCCCACGAGAGTTGGCACATGTTTTTTGAAACACCCTGTATAAAAATAAACATTAAAGCGTTTTTAAAAAATCTACTCAAAATGGTACCATAATACGTTCGACAGTAAATAAAAATAGAATTACATTTATTTTTAACTATTTGTATTGCTTGGCGTTCGGCTCAATAAAAAAATAGGTATTTTGTTTGTACTCCAAGATGATGTGAATATTTGTCGAAAATGTTATTGAACTATTATAAATAACTTACTTTGGATTTTGATTTGAAACTGTTAACAAATACTCCTGAATTTCCATTGATCTTTCTGATGTGATACTTGGCACACGAACATGAGCAGTTTCAACAACAGGACCATCGTTGAGTACCAAAACAGTGATTGCTCCACTTCTAGGATATGCATTTTGATTTCTACTACAATGTACCGAGACATGGAGATTTTCATTGTCTTTTATTGGTACTACTTCTAATAGGAGAGGTCCCATGAGTTTTTTGTGAATGTATGTTGCCCAATAAACCTTTTAAAAATGCGTATAATAATTAATAACACAACTACAACAAAAAAAATATCACAATATCATTTAATGATTCTAAACTTACAGGAGAGGCAGTAGTGGTCTCACTAACTCTTGCCTCTCTGAAAACGACGTCATATCTAGCACGGGATGCTCTTCCAACTTGTTTCATCCACTCCATAGCTGAAGAAAATGTTACAGGTTGCAGATCTTTTGGAACCGTTGTCCAGAGGGCAGTTTTTACAAAACCAAGATCGTCTTTTGTAATCAAAGAACTATGGAATAGAGAAAAAATAATGTATTTTAACATGCTAATTTTTTGTTAAATATAATTATGTACCTAATAAATAAAGAATATTCAATATACAGGGTGGTCCGAACTGTATTCCGGAAACTTCGGCAGCATATTCTGCAGATAAAAATAAGTAAAAAAGTTCGTATAAATGTATGCCCGAAAATGCTTAGTTTCGGAGATACAGGGTGTAAAAGTTTCATTTTTATTTCAAGTTTCACCAAATATTTTTTGAAGTAACGTCAATATTTGAATGAAAATTGGTGTCTGGGAGTTTTTTGACATGAGAAATTTGATTTTGATGTCAATATGACTCCTACTAGTAGAGGGCGGCACCTACGTGTGTTTTAACTGTTTTGAAGCGTAATAACTTTTTGTCCGTACCTGTATAAAACTACCGAGCGAAAAAATATACATCTTTGTGATTTTTTACGTAAAAAATATCTCTTACGAAAGTAACCGTTCTTAAGATATTTAGAATGGAAATAGTAAATACATGTCATTATTGACGAAAAATAAACACGGTGAGTAGATAGTTATTTCAGTGAAATAATAAATTTGGGAAGTTTTTATTTTTTAAATTAATCATAAATTTTTCTGCAAAAAATGATGATAAAACAGTTTCTGTTGGACATTTGGCACAAAAATATTTCAAATTTATGATTTGAGTCTAATAACTATTTAGTCAACATGTTTAATTTATGTCAATCAATGATGACAGGTATTGATAATTCCTATTCCAAAGATCTCGAAAACCATTACTCGTAGCGATTTTTACCAAGAGACCTTTTTCACGTAAATAACGTCGTAAATGTATATTTTTTTACTCAGTAGTTTTATACAGGTACAAACGAAAAGTTATTACTCTTCAAACCATTTAAGAAATATGTAAGTGGCGCCCTCTACTAGTAGGAATCGTATTGACATCAAAATCAAATTTCTCATGTCAAAAAAATCCCAGACACCAATTTTCATCCAAATATTGACGTTACTTCAGAAATTATTTGAAAAAAATCGAAATAAAAATGAAACTTCTACACCCTGTATTCTCCGAAACTAAGCATTTTAGGACATACATTTATACGAACTTTTTTACTTATTTTTATCTGCAGAATATATTACCGAAGTTTCCGGAATCTTCGGACCATCCTGTATATTTGGAATATAGAAAAATATATAAAATTAGTTTATCGGAATTTAATAAAATATGCAACAATAATTATAGATTGAAACTTACGACTCCCACATAACTGCATCTACATTTTGCTCCAAATCGTTCAGATAATTTTCCAAGTTTCCATTTGTATCTTCATCGAAGGCACAATTACTTAAATCGCTTCCCGCAATTTTCCAAGTGTCTTCCTTATCAGGAAACTTTTTTAAAGTTTGTTTCAGAACGTTTAAGTCGTCCACATATTGGACAGTCGTTTTATTCGAACAATCTGTTAAAAGAAATTAAAAAAATAATAATAAAAACGTTTCTTCTTTCTGAAACACTTAAATAAATACTATTTGTATAAAAGGGTATTTATTATTTATAATACAAAACAGGCACCTTAAAACTTGCATGCATTTTAAACTTTAATATATGTACACACACCGGAAAAGTCTAGGGATATTACAATTTTATCCAGCCATTGTCAGTAATTTTATTATTCGCATTTCTGATATAATAAAATTAAAATAACCAAATAGTTTACAGGACGTATTGGAAATAAAAATGCGAAATTTACCGAATTTTTCAAATTTACCTTGATTTTTATTGAACTCAAAAAAATACACACATTTATTTTATTCTAAATTGTGAATTAAAAAAAAATAAAACCATTTTTACTTAATAAATGGTATGGCCTCCTCTACTGTTTATTACAGGCCTACATCGTCTCTCCATGCTCCTGATCAGGTTGTCAATCTCTTCTTGATGTACAGCTTGCCACGCTGCCATTCACGGCCCGAACCAGATCCCTACGAGTTTCACGAGGCATACCCATTCTCAAAATTCTTCTTTGGACCGCGTCCCATACGTGCTCGATGGGGTTGAGATCAGGACATTGTGCCGGTCAGGGTAAGATGTTTAATTGATGAGCATTGATAAACTCACTTACCACTCTGGCTGTATGAGGCCGTGCATTGTCATGCATGAGAATAACGTTTCTCCAAAATCGTTGGCATATGGTAACACGACAGGCTCAAGAATTAAATCACGATATGTGATTCCTGTTAGAAACCTTTCAAGAAAAACGAGATCGGTTTTTCGGCCTAACTGGACTCCTCCCCAGACCATAACTTTTCCACCTTGATAGTAATGCGATGTCGCCCTGTGTGCCTTTCAGCAACATCACCACTTTCACGGTAGCGTGCACTTAATCGCGATATTACACTTTGCGTTGTATTTAATGCTCTAGCTACGTCGATTTGGCGCATTCCGGGTTCGAGCATACCCATGGCCCTTAGCATTTCGTCTCTGTTAAGATGTCTACGCTCCATAATGTCGTTTAATACTAAACAGAGTTATTTGAATGAATTCTGGCCAGTTATCATAAAAACATAGCCAGTACAGGTTAAATTCGAACAATTGATGCTAGGTGCTTTTTATACATTTGACAAAAAATGCACAAACACTTCTGCAAATATCCCAAATTTAGAAATAACTAGTGTGACTACTTCGTTTCAATCGAAGTAGAAAGAATCGGCCTACAAATATGTGGTTGTTTATTCAAAACATTTATTTTTAACTTTAATAAAATGATATCCCTAGATTTTTCCGGTGTGTGTATTTTGTTCTAGTGGGCCGATTATGATAATTTTTTAAGCAATTTGTACCTAAATTATTTGAATTTTTAGTATCTCTTTCTAAATTAAAAATGAAAGTTTCCATCTGTCAATTATACGAGGGAAAACAAAATGTTGATCTTTTGGTGAAAGTTTGAAACACCCTGTAGAATATGTTAACAAAGCAAGAAATGTAATTTTCGCGGGTTTCATTTAAAAAAAAGTTTGATGTGTCACAACTTTATGACAGATCCTATATACTTAAATTTACTTGTAGCTAATAGGCATTTAAAACCCCATTACAACAGTATCACAGTTTTGGCAGAATGGCATTTATTAAATGAATAACTGAACATATCGAAGTTAATTAAATCAAATTGTTTAAGTGATATGTTCAAAAGTCAATAACTCGGAAACGGTTGGTTTGAGGTACATAGTGTGTATTTCTATTTATGCTTAGAATTGAAGGAAGAACCGAAATTTGCAATAATATACAGGGGGTTTCGCTCAAAAAAATATACTTTGATGTGCCACGACTTTATGACCGACCCTGTATATTGAGATGAATAAAAAACAAACTATCGAGAAAAGGTAAACCTAAATGATAAAATTATTTTTAAATTCCTTGCTTTGTTAACGTATTCCACAGGGTGTTTCAAATTTTTACCAAAATATCAACATTTTGTTTTCCCTCGTATAATTGACAGATGGCAAGTTTCATTTTTAATTTAGTAAGAGATACTAAAACGTCAATTAATTAATAATCAAACCTCGCAATAATTTGTAATAGTTTTTTAGATAATAATATATACAGGGTCCGGCAACAGTGCGTTGGGCATCTGTTGCTCCTATAATAAAAAACTTTTGTATAAGTACAAACCTAAAGTATGTATTCGGATGAATTTCAGGAAAATACTTGGGAAAACATTTTAGCTTCTACAGGGTGGGTCAAAAAAGTGTGAGTGAATCAAGATGATTTTTTTAAATGGAACACCCTGTATATTATTGCATTTTTGGCCTCCTACCTGATCACTTTGCGTAATCCGAATATATTATTAAATATATTATGATGGTTTCGTTAATATTAATAAAGAAATAAAAAAAAATTTTATTATTAATATTTTTTCAGTCTATTTTATAAAATTTATTAAAAATACAAGAAATGCCATGAAATCAAAACTATACTAGGTATTTACTATATAATTGGTCTGTACTTGGTTTGCTATAAATATCATAATCTTAAACAATACGGATGTTCAATATTCTATGCCAAACTTTCTGAAATATAAAACTATTTTTTCTTCGTTTTTTTTTAAATAGAACACCCTGTATATTATATCTTTTTTAGATAGAGAATTAAAAAATAAACATCTTTCGTATTTAAAGGATTTTAAAATGTTTAACGGTATTGCAGATATTCGTAATATTATATTACATATGGGTTTTTCAACACTATTTTTTTATCAAAGCCATCTAATGATTTTTGTCGTTACATTAAATGTTAAATAAAATGTTGCCTTTCATGTTCCTTACCATATCCTAGTTGCCAATAACATTTAACACCAAACTTATCAGATATTTCCAACAAGTCCATCACTGCTGTTGGATCCCAAACTCCCTTCACGGTTGGTCCGTCGTCTATACCAAACACTGGCGTCAATTTGGCCAAGTTGAACCACTCATTAATGCCGAACCACATCGAAGGAGTGATCACGATATCGGTGAAGTTGTGACTGATGACGTCTTCTTCGTCTTCGACATACTTGACGTAGGGTGTTGAAGGTCCAGAAAGTCGGATATACGCTGGGCTCAAGTGTCGAGCTAATAGAAGTGAAGTCTCGCTGAAAGATATAATTATTTAATTTCGAAATGGTATTCTTTATTATTCGAAAATGCTGAATATGGCCAAAATCTTATATTTTTGCGAGTCAATTAACAGACGCCACCCTTTATCAAGCGCGGTTTTAGGGGAGGGATAAAGGGGGTAATTAAAAAATTAAATGGGTGCCCCTATTTTTTATTACATACTTCTCTGTAAAATTCTATGAATTTTGATATTAAACACTCTATACCAAACATTAACTGTTTTTGAGAAAAAAAATTATTTGAAATTTTTGGACGAAAAAACTGCCTGTCAAAAATATATGTATAGCCTAAACTTCAAATTTAGTGATTACCACAACCACTGTGCCATAAAGAGAAGAGATGAGATCTCTTGCAAATAGCAATTAAATTGTTCAAATGTCATATAATAATGACCGCAGCTGTCATAATATGACATGAGCGATTAAAAAATTATCATAAATCGTTTTTTTTTCAAATAGAGAGCCACTTTTTTTTATTTTACTAGTGAAAAGGCTTTTCAATTCGTTACTTTTTGACTATACATGTTCCTATAGATACCTAAAACAAATTGTTTTTAAGTTATTTATTAAGATTAAGTTTTAAAGCGTATATTTTACTAACCAACTTACGTCAAGTGATGTAAAACAATAGATCTGGCCATGTCATATTGTGTCATATTGTGACACTTTGTTCAGAAAGCAGTATGTTATCGATCATCATTTTTCAGCCAACTTTGCGCTGTTTTTTTTTTTTTCCGATTAACTACATATCACTAAAGAGCGAAAATACCAGATATATTTTTATAAGTACACTTTTTAAACACTTAAACAGGCAGTATTTATAATGTAGGAAATTCAAACAATTCGTTTTCTGACAGATGGAAATAAATTGTCTGACTATTTGACATTTAATGTCAAAGGAAGCTAAATAAAATCAAGAAAAATATACGTTTTCAAACTAAATCTTAAATAACTTAAAAACTATTTATTTTAGGTATAGGAACATCGGAACATAACTCAAAAAGTAACGAATTGGAAAACCTTTTCACTAGTGAAATAAAAAAAACTAAATTTTACTTTTAGGCTATATAAATTTTTTTGACAGGTAGTTTTTTAAGAGAATTAAACTATGTAATAAAAAATGGGGGCACCCATTTAACATAAGAAAGTTGCTGTCAACTTCCGGCATTTCCGGAAGTGCTGCCATATTGAAAATATATTTAGTCGATAGATCTCGTTGTAAAACAATGATGTGGATAAAATTTCCAATCTAGATATTGTGGTTCTCTAGAAACATCTAATGCACGCTCAGTCTGGGACACCCTGTATACCCAAAATCAATTATGTATAGTTTTTGTTTTGTTTTTAAAAAATATGCTAAATATTTGTTATTAATATTTACTAATTAGTTATGTAAAAATTGATTGTAAAGTTGATTAAACATTTTTCAGCTAATGCTGAATTTTATTTGCAAATAAGACTGCTACTTTTAAAAACCAACGAATAGATAATACAAGGATAATACCAAAAATACGAATAAATAATAATAATTTCTATTAGGTGCTAACATTGTTTACAAATATTTTGAAAAATGTACATTTTCAATAGGAAACATGAAAATATAGAGCATTTTCAGAACATTGGATTACCCTGAAGAAACAGAAAAAAAAATATTTGGAAAAAAAATTAATTAATTATAAACATCTCCGCCAAAATGTCAAGAATCATTAAACGATTCTCTATCTCTACTTCTAATAAAAAATTAGAAGAATGTTTATTTTTTTAAGTTGGATAAAATGCAACAAAAACACGAATGTAATGCGTTTTATTCACAAATACATGTATACAGGGTGCTACAAATTCGAGGTACGAACATTGGTACCTATCTCGGAAACCGTAATAGATACGAAGATAGCTAAATTGGAGCAAAGTTGCGTCTTGGGATGTTTACCAAGATGCCATCAAAACAGTTTAGAAAATTTCAAGGATTGCTGAGTTTTTTGGAAAAAAAAAACAGATTTTTTTGAAAATCAATTTTATTTTTTCCTGTCGTTATTTTTTAGAAAATCAAAAAACTAATTACACATTCTCATAGCCACTTTATTAGGACTATCTGACAGTATTTTTAGATTTTTAAATTAACTGATAATGTGTGAGCTACAGAGACCAACTTAATTTTTTTAAATACGGACCTGCATCTTTTATTTCAGTTTTTAAAAGAATTCGTTCGTTTGAGTACGTGACACAAATTATCAGCTAATTTGAAAATCTAAATATACTATCACATAGCCCTAATAATGTGGCTATGAGAATGTGCAATTAGTTTTTTGATGTTCTAAAAAGTAACGACAGGAAAAAATAAAATTAATTTTCAAAAAAATCCGTTTTTTTTTTTAAACTCAGGGATCCTTGAAATGTTTAAAACATTTTTGATGGAATCTTGGTGAACATCCAAGACGCAACTTTGCCCCAATTTAACCATCTTATTCGTATCTATTACATTTACCGAAATACTACCGCTCCTACCTCGAATTTGTAGCACCCTGCATATCGTATGATAAAAAAAAACAGCGTCCAGTTGGCTTGGAAATGACGATCGATGACATTTCCCATATATTTACATTTAAAATGACAGCGATCTTCATTTCATAGCCATCGCTGATGCCGTTTTTGTTCGATCATACGGTATTTAGTTAAAATAATAAAATTTTTATTATTGGCTTAGAACTCCTTGAAGATTCTTGTTCGCTTGGAAATCACGATCAATGACATTCTCTGTATAATTTATAAAACGACAGCGATCTTCATTTCATAGTCATCGCTGAACGCCCTTTTTGTTTTCGATCATATAGTACCGTATGATCGAAAAAAAAACGGCGTCCAGTTGGCTTATATTGGAAATGAATCTAGCTGACTTTTCCCATATAATTTTACGTATAAAATTACAGCGATCGTCATTTCATATTTCATAGCCATCGCTAACGCCGTTTTTTTTTCTCATCATATTGTATTTTGTATTTATTAATTATTATTACATAACTTCATGGCTATTAAAATTGGAGATTGGAATCTTTGGTATTACAACAGCAATAGAAAACACTAATAACTATAATCACAATACACCAAAACACTTTGCTATAATCTACTTCGAAACTGCTGAAGAAAACAGGATTTTAACAAAGAAATTTTATTTTCCCGTTAATTTTTTTTGGAAATATTATACTGCAGCTTATTTGCACTGCAGCTACACAGTATTATTTAAAAAAATTGCCTTAATAATGGAAAATATATCTATTCTTTTGTCAAGATGTTCACTATAAATATCTTAATAAAAAACCATGCTATAAAAAATAATTTATTGAAAAAGTATTATATAATAAGCAAACTCCCGAATCTTTCTATTTTCTAATCTCTATATAGCTGTATAATAATTATAATGTAATAAAATCAAAAGTAGATATTTACCTCAAATTAACTCCAGCTAATAATACTCCCGGATCAACAGAAATACTCAAAAACTTTTCACTAACCGTATGCAGAGCATTTTTAGTGTTGATATTGTAGAACGCATCTTCTCCCAAAACTAAATTAATATAAAAAATTACCAAAAGTCTTAAAATTAACATTGTAGATATAGTAAAATTGCTTCAATATACGACTAATTTCTGATATTTAAATCAATTAATTAATTGAACTAAATACCTGAGGAAAAATAAAATTGCTTTCTCAGCATTCGCCTACTTTTCGATAGTTAATTGTTTTTCTTTTTTTAATAAACAATTGTCCTGGAATTTCAGTCATAACGCTCTTGACGTGTTCTAAAAAATTAAAGAAAAAGTAAATAAAAAGAATATTTTCATTTACTACTTTGTCTTACCTTTAATAGATGGCGCTATACCATTTTATATCTGACGATAATCTGACGTTATCAAATTATACAACTGACAGTGACAACTGTTCAAGGACATTGGCCTACAAATAATAAACAAATGATTTATCAGAGTGATCAAGGATCTAATTCGTTATCGCGAGTTAAAATTTCTAAAATTTGATTATACAAAAGTATGAATAAGTGTCAGCAACCACGTAACTTTCTATTTTTGCGAGTTGTCGCATGATTTTTTAAATAATATCAACAATGAAAGCAAAAGTGGACTTAAAAATTTGTGGTGTTTGTGGAGACAAAGCTCTCGGATATAACTTTAATGCCGTAACGTGCGAGAGTTGCAAGGCTTTTTTCAGAAGAAATGCCCTCATCACAAAAGAATTCAAATGCCCCTTTTCTAACCAGTGTAAAATCACTACTGTTACTCGAAGATTTTGTCAGAAATGCAGGCTAGATAAATGTCTCTCAATAGGAATGTGTAAGGATTTAATCATGTCCGAACAAGATAAGGTTTTGAAACGGCAAAAAATTGAAGAAAACAGGGCCAAAAAGAGAGGTATTGGTGGTTCAAAAGATAATTACAAGAGGGTGAAAAAGGAAACAGCTGAGGCTGACTCACAAGAGAGTGAATTGTTTAGTAGTTCCTATAACACAGATTCGGATTCGAAAGATACTATTTTCTCCGAAGGATATCTACCTAATAATCCTAATATAGTTAGCGTAATAAACTATCCTGAAACAAGTCGAACTAGAAATGATGATAGTTTAACAGCCAGTAATGAAAGATTGGTTTCATCCAGTGATGATTTGTCTTCTTTTGACAGTGTTTTGAGTAACAAACAAGATCACAATGGCAGTAGCAATTTAGAGTCCCGAATAGATAATACAACCTTGAGTAGTTTAGTGAATAACAATAGTGTAGCTTACAACAATAATACAACAGATAGCTTTAATTCCCAACCATCAGAAAATAGAAGTACTTTAGATGTTACGAAGGATGTTCTTAGAGATATACAGAGGTTTGTAAAAATAAATAAATAATTTTAATTATTGTATAATATGCAGGTGTTTTAAAACCAAATATCAATTACAACTAATGTTATCAGTAAATGAAAATCTATAGTACCTACTTAAATTTTATATGTATGTAATAACAAATTCTGACAAACATTGATTCTATAGACTTTTAGAAAAATGTGTTCTGTTACAGAATTTATTTTTGATCTTTCTCGAATGTAGGATTAATATTAAACTGTATGCTTAGTATTTTATATTTATGTCTGGAATATTTCAGTTTAAATCCATCTCAGTCATCCTCAAATCCTATAGAATCCATATTATCTGAAGCAATAAAATTAGAATACGAAGCGTACTCGTCAATAGCCCAGTCCAATTCTCATTCAAAGGAGTTGAATGATGCAGAGAGAGCAAAGTTGAATGAATTGATAGTGGCCAATAAAGCACTGCTTACACCTGTAGATGATGAACTAATGGATTTCAAAAGTACAATTAAGGTAAGTTACATATACAATGAATGTAAATGTCTTTAAATATTGCTACAATTTTTATTTTAGTCTTATTTAATTGAGTCTAGTATATTATGTCTTCTAATTCTAACATTTTATAATTATAAATATACCTAATTCATATTGTAAATAATATCCTACCAATAAAATCTTATCTACTTATATATACAGGTGTGTAAATAATAGCTAATGATTGGTATACTTAATTAGATTAAGATTATCTTATTTTTTGAGAGAGAGATAGGAAGAAAATGTTTTGTTTATTTCCTACTTTACAATAATTTTACAGCCCGTCCGCGCGTATTTTTTGAAATTGCGAAAATTGTTCATATAAACTCATGGTACTTGCTCGAAGTCGCGGACGCTCCGCTCCATCTGAAAGCGCTGTTAGACTAGCTTCTACGTCCCACTAGTCAACTTGCATTCAATATATTTTTAAATGGAATACCTACTACATATTTTTTTAGTCCAGTGGATTTGCCATTAAATCTCCGTTCGAAAAATACTATAATGTCATACACTATACCGAGTGGTTTTTGAAATATACCCGTTTTTTAACTAAATTTACTGCTTATTTAAAGCTCCCTTAAAATTCTTAATTCAAAGAATTTTATTTTGTTTTAACAGGAAGTACTGTATAATAGGGTCTTCTTCAAAATTCGGTCTACCATAATTTGCAATCTTGTTTAATATATACAGGGCAAGTCAAACTAAATGTTGTATAAAATAGTGGAGAAAACTTCACTATTTTAACTAGAACACCCTGTATTTTGTATCATGATCGAACAAGGTTTTGTTTAATATTTTTGTTTTAGTTTCTTTTTGTGTTATACTTCCTATACTTAAAATTGATATTTAATGAGAAAATTGTTTTTTTTTATTGAATATACTATCCTTGTTTATATATTCTTAAAGTTGGTCAACCGACTAGACAAAATGTGCTGCTAACTGGAGGACAAATCGTGAACCTTTCGGGGCGGAGTCAAAAATATCGATTATTTTTGTTATTTTCCCCAGAGTAATGTAATAATATAGCCCGGGTATCTGCAAACTTTAATAGTGATCAGCTGATTAAGAAATTTAAACGAAACTTTTATTTTACTGTAAATTGTAGATTATTTTTGCATGTTATTTTAAGAATTCTAAACCGTATTAACAAAGAAATTATTATTTCGATATGTTGGTACATTATTTATAATTTATGATAATGCTAATTGGCTGTTAATTAATATTTAAAAAAAAGTTTTTTTTTTTTTTTTTTTCCACAATAAGGGGCCGTCCTCTGCCGGAAACACTGCGACCTGTGAGGCCTATTGTATTTGTCCCCTTTTTATATCTGCACCCATTCTCCTATCCCTGTGCCCTGCACTAACTTATGCAGGTCCTTGATATGATAGTTCCTCCGGTTCTAGCCTAGCTTTCTCAAATAAAAAGTGTCGCTTGCGATCCAGAGCCTCGCAGTGACATATTATGTGCTCCGCTGTTTCAGGATCTTTAGCGCAAAGTCTGCAGCAAAGACTTCCTTGATACAGATTGAGCTTGTTCAGGTAACACTTGACAGCCATATGTCCTGTCAAGAGGACTGTTGTAATCCGCAATTTATTCCTGCTAAGCATTAGCAGTTCTTTTGCGGTTTTGGAGCTAGGTCCTTGGATAAAAGCCTTGCTGTGCCTGTGCCCGTGTCGGTTTCTCCAGTGGACATTCTGCTTTTTCCTGATCCAGAGTTTTAGTGCACTACGGGCCATACATTTGGGTATTCCCAGTACTGGCTCTGGACCAAGATAAGATGCCGATGATCCTTGCCTAGCTAGCTCATCGGCTTTTTCGTTGCCTTGGATGCCGCTGTGGCCCGGCACCTAGAATAATTTAATTCTGTTCCGTCGAGCCATAGCTTCCAGTTCACCTAGGCATTCCCAGACGAGTCTCGACGATACCTTTGGGCTCATAAGCGCTCCAAGTGCCGCCTGACTGTCTGAGCATATATTGATGAGCTTATCTGAATAAGCTCTTCTATTGTTTTCTCTCGCACATTGTAGAATGGCGAAGATTTCTGTCTGGAATACGGTTGAGTGTTTACCCAAGGAAAATGATAAACTTGCCCTTGGTCTTTCCCCAAATACTCCAGCTCCTGTTCCTTCAGCGGTCTTTGACCCGTCTGTATACCAGGTTAGTCCATCCTGAAGGAATGTTATATCTGTCCACATTCCTCGATCCATTTTGTTTACCTCGAATGGTTTGTGGTAGTGATAAAGAGGGGTCATTTGGTCCGATCTCATTTGGAGTAGAGGTCCCTCAATAGGATTTCCCATCTTTGAGTGTCCTGTTTCTGTCCTATTTCCCAAGACACTTTGTTGTTGATAAAGTCCCATTCTTGCCTCCGCCTAGATCACTATGTGAAGAGGCGGAAGGTCCAGAAGCGCCTCCATTGATGCAGTGAGCGTTGATTTCATGGCCCCTGTTATGCTCAGACAAGCAAGTCTTTGCACCTTGCTGAGGCTGAGCATTGTTGTTTGTTGCATTACCTTAGGCCACCATACCAAGGATGCATATGTTACTGAAGGCCTCACTACTCCAGTGTACAGCCAGTGCACCATCTGTGGTCTAAGGCCCCAGATTTTTCCATGAAAGCGTCTGACTACCGCTAGTGTAGTCACCGCCCTCCTTGTGACATTTTCCAAATGTCGGTTCCAGGTCAGTTTGGTATCAAGCGTGATTCCTAGATACTTGACCTCCCCCGAGAGAGCAATCTCATCGCCGCAGAGTCTCAGAGGGCCTAGTCCCTCAAGTATTCTGCGCTTGGTGAAGAGGATTATTACGGTCTTGTAGGACTAATATTTAGTCCCTCCCGTGTCACCCATAATTCCACAATCTTCAAGGCCCTTTGCATTCGCTCCCTTACTGTTGTGTTAAACTTACCTCTGACTAACACGACCAAATCGTCTGCATATCCCAGAGTGTTGAAACCAGCCCTGTTGAGACTATTAAGCAGTCCGTCCATAACAAGATTCCACAGCAGAGGGGAGAGAACTCCCCCCTGCGGGCATCCTCCCGCCACCCGGACCGCAACAGTCTCATTTAGGAGGGTGGTATATGCCACTCGACTTTTGAGCATGCAGTCTATCCACCTGCAGCAGGTCTCCTCTAATCCGAGGTTCCTTGTAGCTCTCGTCAGTGACTGAAATGAGGTGTTATCAAACGCCCCTTCTATGTCGAGGAATGCCCCTAAAAGCACTTCTCTTGTTTCGAACGTCGACTCCACTTTGCTTACTAGCTGATAGAGTGCCGATTCGGTTGATCGTCCTGCTGTATAGGCATGCTGGTCTTGGTGAAATGGTCTTTTTCCCATTATTTCATCCCTAACATACCTGTCCATTAGTTTCTCAAGAGCCTTTAGTACGAACGACATAAGACTGATGGGCCTAAAAGCCTTTGCCGTAGAATAGTCCAGACGCCCATTCTTGGGTATAAAAGCTACCCTGGTCAGCCTCAAATTCTCGGTATATATCCTAAGGCCAGACTAGCTCTTAGTAGTGTACAAAGTTTGCTCGTCAGTAGGTCTGGTCCTTTCTGGAGCATTATTGGACAAATACCGTCCGGTCCCGGTGATTTGTATGGCTCAAATGAGCTTATAGCCCATTTTAACTTTGATTGGTCAATCACCCTTTTTGAAACCTGCCAGTCTTCCCTTGAGGCTCTTCTCGTGAAGTTCTCAAGTCCACTACTCTTCCAGGTTTCTGGGGATTGCTCCAAGGCTATTGATCTGGGAAAGTGTACCCGAAAGAGTTCGGTCAGCGTCTCTTTCCCAGTGGATGTGTATTCTCCTGCACTAGTTACAAGAGAGTTAATTGAGGTCTGAGAGTCCTTAGAGAGTATTTTTTGAAGTCTGGCACATTCTGAGGTACTATCAATGCCCTCGCAGTACCTCCTCCAAGATAATCTCTTTGCTCTCTTCAGTTCCTTGTTATATTCGGTCAAAGAGGTCTTATATTCCCCCCAATCGCCGGATCTTTTTGCCCTATTCCAGTTTTTCCTTACCTGCCTTCTCCTTGCCTCTAGCTGGACGGTCCACCAGGGTGTTGCCCGTTTGTGGCTTCTGACAGTCTGGGGGCAGTTTTCCTCAAAAGAAGATCTGATCGCGTCAGTCAATTGCTCCGCGACCAGTTCCACCTCAGTCGCATTCCTTACCATTGATTTGATACTCGTCAGTTTGCTAGTTAGGTCTGCCCCAAAGGCTTCCCAATTTGCATTCCGAGGATCACGGTAGGTTTCTACGGTCCTTTGTATTCCCGAGATTTCAAACCTTATGTGTTTGTGGTCCGAGCAACTCTCCTCCTCTGACACACTCCAGTTTTTTATGAAATTGCTAACAAAAGTGGTGGCTAATGTTAGATCTATAACTTCCTGCCTTTGTGTGGTCACAAAAGTAGGCCTGTTACCTTTATTCATTACGTCTAAATTATTTGCCATAAAGAATTGCAGCAGAGCTTCGCCTCTAGGGTTTGTGTCTGTGCTTCCCCAGAAAGTGTGGTGCGCATTTGCGTCCGAGCCAATGATCAACTGAGATCCATTTCCTCTGCAGTACCTCACTAGCTCTTCCATAGTCTCTGGTGGTGGTGGATCAGGGTCATCGAAAGGAAGATAAGCCGATCCGATTATAATGTCCTTCGGCCCTTCTCCGTTCGTTTTTAAGTGTACCGCTGTCAGATCCCTGTTGCAGAATTTTAGTAAGGGCAGTACTTTTAAGTGTGTTTTAATTAATATGCAGGTCCTAGGTCTGTCAGAGGTTCTACTGTATATAAGTTCCACTCCGACTCCCTTTAGGCCTTTTATTTGACCCTGATTTATCCAGGGTTCTTGTATCAAGGCAATGTCACAGGTCTCCATTACCTTACAGAGGACAGCCGAAGCTGCCCTACTGTGGTGCAGGTTCGCCTGGACGACCCTCATTTCGAGACTCAGCGCCCGTCAGTGCCCGGAAGAAGACCCGTCCGAGCTTATAGTAAGCCTTGAACTGGGTCTGCCCAAGGGCACTAAAAGACGCTAAGTCGATGGAGAAGGCGATGGTTTGGCCATTCTTCTCCACCTTCCTGCTTAGTGTAAGCCAGTCTCCCACATTCAGGCTAGGGTTTTGACGCCCAAGCCAGGTCCTGACTTCACTTTCCTCGACTGTCTCTGGTATCCAGACGAGGACTTTTGGTCTCTTAGGAAGGTCCTTAGAGTTGACCGTAGTCAAGTCCGCCCCTTCCCAGAGATTGTTTAAGCCGGCTACAGTATGCTGCAGCCATTCTTTGGTGAGGTCGTTGGCACATGAGATCCAAAGAATCCCTCCCACGTACCTAGTTCCCTCAAACTGCGGCGGACTCTGGCTCCCTGAAGGTGTTTCAGTCAATGCCGCCAACAGCCTCGCTTGAATCAGGTCCGCTTGCTCCTGACTCAGTGTTGTCTCGGGATGGCGTCTGGAAATCACCGCCATCCTAAGTTCCCTTGAGGCGTCACTGTAAGAAACACCAGTCTGCACTTCCGTGCTCCTGGGTTTCTTCCTCAGACTGGCCACAGGTGGTGTAGAGGAGTCCGAGTGCGGTCTTTTTTTTGCCCGTACTTTCCTCCTTTTTCTTGGCTGGAGTGGAGCAGGTTGACGGTCCGGGTTTGTCCGTTTTCCCTCCTCTCTTTGCCCTATATTTCTTAGCAGGGTTCTCCCTTGTCCAGGTTCCTTCTGCTATTTTTTTAGCTTTCAGGATCCTCTTTTTCTGTGCTCCTGAAATTCTCTTGTTCCGCAGGCCTATGTTTCCAAGTCCTGTGGTTATATTTGACACCTCGGCAGGCTGTTTCTCACGATCCGCAGACGACTCTGCCCTCGTTGTACTTGGCCCAGCGTCGGTGTCTGGTTCTGCTCCAGAGTCTTCCCTTTCGGGATTCTCCGGAACATTTCTTGAGGAGTCACTCATTTCTGAGTCCTCCTCGTTCGTTTTTTTGGTTTTTTTATGTTCTCTGTCCATAGTTCCCACGAGTAGGGGCGAAAGAAGGTCAACGCCTGCAGAGCACCCAGTGCAGACGCAAGGCATGTTACTATGGGAGATTGCCCGGTATCCCATAGGCTCCGTTTGAGACACCCGTTTGAGGCACGGGTGCCATTCATCCATCGGCACGGATCGCGTGACACCTTGGATTAGCTTGTGTAATGTGTGTGTGTGTAAGTGTATGTATGTGTAAGTGTGTTAGTGAAGTGTGCTTTGTATTCTTCTTTGTCTGGCCTCTCCTCAGAGACCTGTTCGGCATGGGAGACCCTGCCAGTAGTTACCTACCGCCGACATAGCCCTCTGAGTCATTGAAGCACACAAGCCCCACCGGTCCGTCAAACCGAGAATACATAGGTGGGGTAAAAAAAAAAGTTACATACCTATTTTAATTTGATTTAATGCAGGTTTATAAAAGAATCATTTCATTCTTGGACTATTTTATTCTACATTGAGTGCTTTACGAATTTTACTATATTTTTTTTTTGAAAACATTAAACTTTTTACATTTTTGATGCTAACTAATTGGCAAGGTATTATTGTTATGGAAATTAACCAAGAAAGAAAAGAATTGGCTATAACATGTAATTTTTCGAAAAAAACATATTATACGTATCGCTGAAAACTTAAAAAATGGCGCTTTTTATGAAGTCATAGCCAACTATGGTTTACTAAAAAAACATATGTTTGTGTCATATGTCAAAAATGACAGACTTTAGAAAAAAAAACAGAAAACACAAACTCATTAGGTACGTGATTATCTACAACTTTTATCTGAAAACTTTTTGTCTAAAATACCGTATGATCGAATAAAAACGGCGTCAGCGATGGCTATGAAATGACGATCAATGATATTTCCCATATAATTTTACATATAAAATGACAGCGGTCTTCACTTCATAGCCATCGTTGACGCCGTTTTTATTCGATCATACGGTAGATTATAATGGAATTAGAGACAAGTTTTAAAATAGCCAAAATTTGTTTTTTCGAAATATCTAATAAGCCTTGAACTTCTCCGAAAAATCCGAAAAGCGCATATTTATGACCCCACCAAACTGCAATTCTTTCCCCATTAACCGACTCTCTATATCCAGTAGTTTCCGAGATGCCCATAGAGAACATCGTAGGAAACTCACCCTGTATAGTATTTTGAAACTAACTATTGTTATTATTTGACTGTTTAATTTGATTAATAAGGCTAGATTAATTTAATTTCAAATAAATTTGATCAGTTTTTGTTTTTGTATATTCTGCTACCAGAAAACCAAGATTATATGATAACGCACTTTTCAACGAAGTTGAAGGAAGATATAGTGTATCTATCATAATACTTAATAGAACTACTACAATTATTACAAGAAAAACAAAAAGAAGAAATACCCAAATACCCCTTCACCTACTACTCAACTACAAAATAAACGAATATAATCTCTTAAAAACACTACACAACTACTTATTCTTGTATTCTACACTGAACAAATTATCAAACTTACTAATTTATCAAACAAAAAGAAAAAATAGTAAAATTATCCCTTCACCTACTACTTAACTACAAAATAAACTATAAAAACACTATTAAACTATTTTTGGTAGACTACACTAACATGCTACACTAAACACTATAATTAAACTTAATAAATTAATCTAATTTTACACTACACCTACAAAGAAAAAAGAAATATGAACATTTTCTAAAACTAGAAGAAACAGAACTTCCATACGTGCGACCAGGATAATAGGTCAAGGGGACAAAGAATATAAAATACTTTAAAATGTGCATTCAGAAAGAAAAAATACCTCCAAAATTATCTAAACAAACATTTTTATTTCTTATCAGTGAGAAGCATCGGCCTTGTCGGCCTTGAAGAATTTGTCGGGTATTTACAATGGTCGAATTGTATAATTGCCAGCTTTTATAGCATATCTAATAGATAAAAAGTATCTGGTTGATTAGTAACCAATTGGCACAGTCCGAAAATTATCGATTTTTATTTTCTCTGTTTTTATTGGTAGCTTCAAAATTCAGAGTAACAAAAAATATTTTTCTGTAGGGAAACCGGTCCTGCCATCTATTAGTCTTAGTCCATAAACGTCTTAGGTTGATCTACTTTAAGAATATATATACAAGGATACTATGGTACTTCATTGTATTAGTACTTACATACTATGGCTTCTGATAAAAGAAACAGTATTTCAAAATAGAATATTTCAGTCTGTAAACTGTGATATCAGATTACATCTAATGTTTGTAAAATCCTTTAACAAAATTAGCAGTTAGTGTTTGTACAAATCATAATGAAATATCTTACTTAACACCTGGAATATTTATACATTTCTATACTTATAAACCAAAAGTATGTAAATTATTAAAATTGAGTAAAAAAAATGACACCAGACATTTTTATTTTTGCAACCTTATTTTTAATGAAATAAAATTATAAGATTTGTTTTAATTTAAAAAAATTTATTTAATCAAGTTTTAAAATATAAATATACCGTTTTAAATTTTGAATTTATTTAATTATACATTCAAACCTTTTATTCAAAGCATTCAAAGGAATGAGTATATACAGGATGTCCCAATATTCCGTGGACATAAAACTACTTATTATATAGGTATATACGAAAGTTTTTAGTTTGTCCGTTAGAAGGCATCAAGCTTTAAATAAAATTGCGTTGCAATAATTAATGTTATACTAGCTTAAACAGGGCGTCCAAAAATCAATGTTAAATAGTGATTAGCTTGTAACGGCAATTACTTGTTAAATTTAATTAAAATAAAATAATTAAAAAAACGGAACAGTCTATATGTTATATCTATCATATAGTATTACGTCTCTTTTAGATGTATTTTCAAGTTTTTCGTAGAAAATTATTTTTTTAATCAATTACTTAGATGCAGATGCAAGGGAATCAGCAGTCTGATACTGATCCTAAATTACTAGATGTGATAAATCTGACAGCGATAGGTATAAGGAGGCTTATCAAAATGGCAAAAAAGATAAATGCTTTCAAGAATATGTGCCAGGAAGATCAAGTGGCTCTTCTGAAAGGAGGTTGTACTGAAATCATGATGATTATTAGCGCGATGAAGTATGATCCGACGAAAAATATTTGGAAGGTAGGAAAAATTAAAAATTACTTGTCAAAATTGGTCCATTTGCCAGTCACTAAATACAAAAAAAAAGGATAGTATAACAAAAAGATAATTTGATATTTAGGGTTATTTACGTTATACCGCAGGATATTTTAGCAAAAATTATTAGATTATTATGGTGCGTTTAGGTTTGGGCACGCACGAGCTGAGCGTACGCTCACGGCATTCGTTCGCGCTCTCAGCTCCGTTTAAATTAAAAACTTATTTTTCGACGAATGAAGTGATCCATTTATGCGCGAACAGCAGAGTTGTGTTGGTGAAGGCACGCACGCACGCACGCACGCAGACAAGACAAACTGCCGGTGCAAACTGAGCGTTCGCGCACACATAAAAACCTTTTAAGCACTGACCAAAAGCCGACACCAGACGGCTCACGTTCGCGGCTGCTCGCGCACAGACAGATTCAGAATGAGCGTGCGCGCACAGCCGTTTACAGTTGAGCATTCGCGAAGGATCAGTGCGTGCGTGCTCAAGTCTAAACGCACCATTAGAGATTTGTGAAATTTTGAGTATTTGTAAGTCTGTTAAGCTAGAATTTAAAATTATTTTCATAATTGTCAAAAAATATTAAAGTTAAGTAAAATATTTTATTTTAAACGAAACATTATATACAGGGTGGTCCGAATTGTATTCGGGAAAATTCAGGCAGCGTTATTCTGCAGATAATATTTCTGTGCAGATTTTTTTCCAAGTAATTTCTGCACTATGGTCAAATTAAAATTGGTGTCTAGGTGTTTTTTGACATAAGAGATATGGGGGATTTCGATATCATTATGACTCCTAAGTAGAAGCCATAATACAGCCCTACAAGTCTTGTAGGGCGCGCCACCTACATGTTTTTTAGCTGTTTTGAAAAATAATAACTTTTCGTCCGTACCTGTATAAAACCACTGACGGAAAAAATATGCATTCTCATTATTTTTTCCGTAAAAATGTATTTTGGTAAAAATCGCCCCGAGCAACCATTCAAGATATTTGGAATAGAAATAGTCAATAGGAGAGAATGCCCAACAGTGAGACACATTTTTTTTAAACCGTAAAAAATATTTTATTTTTTCATCAAAATAAACTATTTTAGTATACTTTAAAGGCAACTACTCTCTCCTAAGCATCTTTAATTAACTACTCTCATTGAGACAAAAACAGGTCTTAAAATTAACAATATTGTTATTATTGCATTTGTCTCATTGTTGGGCCCTAAGGTCTAACAGTAAGACAGAGGAAATTTTAAACAAATAACTATTTATTAATTACTTAAAAATAGTTAAGAGTATTTATTTGCGTTTGGCATTAAACAAAGTAGAGCTGTCTTAAACAAAGAACTTAAAATATAAACACAAGTGCTAAAAATATAATTAACTTAATCAACTAACGAAATAAAAAAAAAGAGTTTCATAGATTTTTGTTGTTAATGTAACTTCGACTTAAAATAAAGAAAAACTCTGTTATATAACAATCAATAACATGATTATATATATATTATTATAAACTTACCTCTCCACTAATGGATTTATTAAAATAACTAAGCGTTGGCCTTACACACTGAAGAAAACGCACGTGTTAAAAATTATTTTTCGCTTCAAAAATGGTATTGGGTGCAGTTAACATATCTCCCAACACTGCAGGTTCCATATTTGATACAAAATAGTTGGTATATAGGTAGTGTTTTACTCTCGAAAGGGGAATTGGATTCGACGCGTTTTAAATGAAGGGGATTAAATGTCTCACTGTTGGACCTGTCTCACTGTTGGGCATTCTCCCCTACATATCATTATTGACAAAAAATAAACATGTTGACTAGATAGTTATTTGACTGAATAAAATTGGGAACTTATTTTTTTTTAACTACGATCATAATTGTTTCTAGAAATTCTCTTATTTCTAAAAAAATGGTGATAAAACAGTTCCTGTAGAACTTTTGGCACAAAAACATTTCAAATGTTTCAGTCTCAATACTTTCAGTCTAATAACTATCTAATGGCAATAATATATTTTGGCATGAATTGATTATTTTAATTCCAAAAATATCTTAAGAACCATTACTCGTAGCGATTTTTCCCAAGATACCTTTATTTCTACGTAAAATACCTCGAGAATGTATTATATTTTTACTTATTAGTATTATATTTTTACCCAGTAGTGTAATACAGGTATGAACAAACAGTTATTATTCTTCAAAACAGTAAAACATATTTAGATGGCGCCCCCGACAAGTAGGAGTCATACTGACGTCGAAATCGAATTTTTCATGTCAAAAAACACGCAGACACCAATTTTCATGCAAATATGGACATTAGTAACACCACTTTCTTTATCTATAAAGCTAACACAGTACAAAACGTAAAAGTGTGTATTGTTTTAGATACCATCGATACAAGAAACCTTAAACGTTAACGTGAACGTTTTAAAGCTGGCCAAAGGGAACGCCTACCAGGAACTGGAAAGGTTTATCAGGACCTTCGACCCGAAATGGCGAGCCGACGAAAATATAATCCTTATTTTATGTGCCATCGTTCTTTTTACACCCGATAGGCCTAGAGTAATTCATCAGGATGTCATAAAACTCGAACAGGTAACTTGGAACTAAGAAACAACAAAACACCACACTTAACTATAGTTTATCTACAGACAACATAAGTATCATAATCGATTCTCATATAACATTTCAGTTCAAGTATCGTTGTACTAGACTCAGAACACTATGTAAATTTCAAAAATACTTCCAAGTTAAAAACGGTTGTTTTACAACCTAAATTTATTGGCAGGATTTAGCTATTTTCTTTCTTAAATAATATTTTTTATTACATTGGATTATGATCGGATACTTTTGTTTTGATGAAATATTCACTAAATAAAATTCAAAAACTGTTTACAAAATTTAAAAAATCTTTTTACTAGTGTAATAAAAAAGTGGGTTTCCATTTGAAAAAAATGGCGCCGGGAGGCACGTATAGCCGCCCATACTAAAATATGTTAATATCTCGAAAACTGCTACTTTGACTGATTTTGATGATAATTACAAATTTTGTTGCAAATATTATTCCTAATCTTAATTTGAAAACCGCGTTTCGCTAGCTACTGTAATTTTGGAGTTACGATTTTTTTAAATTTTTAACCCTCTCCTATACCCCCCTACCAACCCCCCACTCCCACCAAAAACTAATGGCCAGATTCTCGGGTGCCACAGTATTTTTGTGCCAAATTTGGTTAAAATCGGTTCAGCGGTTTTTGAGTTATCGTGTTACAGACGGCAGACAGACAGACAGACACCACGAAAATATTTTGTATTTAGGTCATTTATGACCCAAATAACTCATTTTGAGTGAAATTAAAAAAACTTTTTTTTTGCCGATCCTAATCGCCTACCATACCTATTGGTATGGTCGGCTAAAAATTATTTATGATAATTTTTTAATCGCTCAATTTCATCACAGCTACGGCCAATATTATACGACATTCGAACAATTTAATTTTTGAAATAGATAGCCACATGTCTTCTCTTTATGTCACAGTGACTGTGGTAATCACTAAATTTGTCGTTTAGGCTATACAGATTTTTTTGACAGACAGTTTGTTTCCTCCTTTGAATAAGAAGACTAAGGAAGGAGCATATCAAAAATCTTAGGTACACCGCGATGGGCCTCAAATATGGCCGACTTAAATTCCGGTTTATCAGTGTCGTTCTAATTTTATTTAAAAAATGTAAAACTATGATGTAGGGTAGACGTGGGGTAGACTCAATAATTTGTTGTTTTATTTTACGTTGTGAATAAATGTTGGTAGTTATTAAAATTGTTATAAAAATATATAATTCTAATAAAAATAGATAAGTTATAATAAGTATTTATTACCACAAACATCCGATACGCTACTAAAGCAGGTAAGTCAAATTAACGTATCTAAATTCTTTGACATCTAATCTTTGACAAGTAATAAATAAAAGCTAAAATGCAAGAAAAATATATAATTTAGTTAATTTAAGTGAATTTCATAAATGATCGGTTTACTACACGTATGTATATTATATAGTCACTTACTAGCGAAAAGTTGTTCCATTATTTCACTCAATTTTGGCGAGATCTACCGCACGCTACACAACCAACTATTTTAGAGTCTTTTTCGATAAATCGCGATAGTGTCACTGTTAATTTAAGTGCTGCCACAATTTCCATCTAGATTTACTACCTTTATACAACTATCAGTAGTAGAATAAATAATAAATAACATAAAATAAGCTCCGTAAAGACTGACAAATCCACAAAATTTCAAATCAAATTCAAATGTGTCAAATGAATCGTCAAACAGAACTGTCAAGGATTCCCACCCTAGAGTGCTTTTATGGTGCTTTTTCCGCCCACCATGCATGAATACATGGATAGCATTATGCTCCTTCCTTAGTCTTCTTATTCAAAGGTTTCCTCTAAAAATTTTAAATATTTTTTTTCTCAAAAACGGTTAATGTTAAGGTGGGTATTCACTTGCAACAAAACACTCAACGAACCAAACGCGCCGCGCGAGCTGTAAATTTGTTTAGTCAGTACGTTGCGCCGAACAGAACCGAATGCGCCAAACATTTTCCGAAGCTTGTCGGTAAACGGGATTTGCTCAAAAGAATTTGTTCGTTGGCCGGTGTTCAATGGGTACGGCAGTTTTGAACGTTCGTTGTGTTTGGGGTGCTTTTAAACTGTACCTTGCTATGGAGTGGAACAGAGAAAAGTGTTTAGAGTTAATTGATGAGTTTGAAAGGCGGCCTATTTTATTAAATTAGTAATTAATTATTAAATTATTTAAATTCTTCTTAGGCATATAATCTAGGTCACTAAATAAGGCCATTGACGGCGCTAAAAGAGGCGTCTCGCCCAAATTTTTTGTCCTTTCCTTTTTTTTCTCTTTTTTGTTGCCCGCTAATGCCTCTATAATTAAAAAAGCACCAGCGGCTATGGTAATATCAGATTCATTCTTATCGACGAACACACTAACACTGATTCACCCACTGATTACTGGTGAGAACGCAGCGAACACCGCAAACAGGCGGAACGCTCCGCGCAAAATGTTTTGTTGCAGGTCGTTCAGAGCGCTCCCGGAAAATGTTTCATTGCAGATTGTTTGGAGTGCGCGGCGCGTTTGGTTTGTTCGGAGTGTTTTGTTGCAAGTGAATACGCATCTTTAGGGCTCAAACACACTGACGACCAGGTCGCACCGGCCAGGCCGCAGCTACCTCTAAAACCATTAAATCAAACGATATAGCGCACACTAACGTCCTGGCCGTCCGTTGGTCGTTGCGACCAGAAGACTGCACGGAAATATTATTAGTTTCTGCCGCTTATTGCCGGTTTTCTTCCAAATTAATAATTTTTCAGATGAAATCCCTCAAATTCAAGGCACAATATTTTATTTTCTATAAGATATAGTGTTTTAGTGTAGTTTTTGCACACGTGCAGAAAATTCAAAGAAATAGTATACAGACTGGATCAAAGGTAAACTTAAATCTAATCCCTTTTTTTTTATCAAGGGTCGATTCTAGTAAAAACTCAAAACATTTTTATATGACAAACCTACTCTATTTATGGTCGGTATGATACCTGTTATTATACCTTTCGTTTTTCGAGTTTCGATGTTTAAAAAATAAAAAAAAATTATATTTAAAGTTTTTCTACAACCACTTGTTTTTTTTATTAAATTAGTTTTTTTAGTTGTATTGTAGTCATGTACAGGGTGGGTCAAATTCGACGCTTTTAAATGGAAACAACCTTTTCTATAGGAGATAGACAAAAACTAATATCGGTGTCTGGAGCTCAATTTTTGTCAAAAACATGATGGCGAAAACCGCATATCGATATTTGTTACCGTTTCGGAGTTACTGGGTGTTTTTCAAAAATATGCATTTTTAACAAATCGCTGTAACTCTTTTGCTATGGAAAATTTTTTTTGTATTTTTATGAAAACATTTCCAAAGCACCTTTTTACGTAGAATTTAATGGTTTAAGTATAATTTTTCTAAAATTAATATTTTAAGAATTATCAACAAAAAATTTGATTTTTTATATGGGACACCCTATATAATTTATTGAAAAGAATTTAAAATTACCTTTCCAAAAATATAACATACTTAATATTTTGCTCGATTCCTCTTCGAGATATAGAGTATATAAAAATTCGCCCGCTTTAAATAAGTAGCCTTTGAACGGCACCGGCTGTAATGCAAAAAAAATTCTAGCTGTGAGCATCAATTAAAACGAAAATAATATTTGCTATGAGAGATGCAGAATTTTATAACAATTTTAAACATATTTAACCAACATCAACACATTTAAACTATATCTAATAACATTAAAAATAAATAGCAAACCAAGACATGAGATTTTGCTATAGGTGTTCAACATATCGACCGTCTTCTGTTATGGACAGACGGGGCAGTTTTTGAACATTTCTCGCGAAATTCATTAACTCAGTGGGGGTGAAAGATACCCTCTCATAACTGCTAAGTATTTCTAATTCTTGTCTAGATTATACAGAAGAATAAGGAACCTTTATTCTTCCGCAAATATATCCATAGGATTAGATGTATGGGCACTAAATCAGACAGCCTCGATGGCCAACGGCTGGGTTCTTGGTCAGCTATTCAATTATTCTTGGGCTGCAGAAATTTGCTGATAACTTCAGCGTTCAGAGGCGGTGCGTCTTCTTGCTGGAAAAATATATTTTCGAGTTCCATTAAGGGCATATCATCAATGAGGGGTCCAAAGCCTACTAGTTAAAAGTGGCGAACTTTTAAAAATTCTGTATTTCGAAGGGGATTATAACAGAATATCAAGTGTGCTATATTTTTGGAAAGGTAATTTTAAATTCTTTTCAGTTAATTAAAAATATACAGGGTGTCCCATATAAAAAATAAAATTTTCTGTTGATAATCCTTAAATTATTAATTTTAAAAAAATTATAATTAAACCATTAAATTCTACGTAAAAAGGTGCTTTGGAAATGTTTTCATAAAAATACAAAATTTTCCATAGCAAAAAAGTTACAGCGATTTGTTAAAAATGCATATTTTTGAAAAACACCCCGTAACTCCGAAACGGTAACAGATATCGATGTGCGGTTTTCACCATCATGTTTTTGACAAAAATTGAGCTCCAGACACCGATATTAGTTTTTGTCTATCTCCTATAGAATAGGGTGTTTCCATTTAAAAGCGTCGAATTTGACCCACCCTGTACAAGGAGCACAACTGTATTTTAAATATGATATTTAATTTAACGTTTTTCAAACAGGGTTCATTAGACTATATTTCTACTAGGTACATTATTTTGAAAAAAAAATTAAGAAAGTAACTTAAACATTCATAAAAATAGATGTAATTACCGTTGTAGATTCTTCGTTATATTGTAAACATTGAAATAACTGGAAGCTAAACTTTCTACGTGCTTATATTTAAAGCCAGTGTCTGACGATCTTTTTTTACGATGGCCCTAATATGTTTACTTCTAAAGTCGATAAGGACGCCATATCAGTAGAAAAAAGAAACAGAATATCTCCCTTTTTGTCGGTCGCGCGTACACAATGCTTTTTGTT